ATCTGATGTCACTAGGGAGGGAGTTCCACAACTGAGGGGCCACCACTGAGAAGGCCCTGCCTTTCATGCTCACCTGTTGTGCCTGCGAAGAAGGCGGGACCAAGAGCAGGGCCTTCCCAAGTGATCTTAATCTCCGAGGTGGTTCATAGGGGAGGATACATTCAGACAGGTAAGCTAGGCAGGAATTCTGGGAGTTGAAGTCCAAGCAGGAATTGTGGGAGTTGAAGTCCAAAACACCTGGAGGGCCAAAGTTTGTCCATGCCTGCTCTAGACCAGTATACACAGAATCACATACCTGCATCCCATAAAATATGTCCTTTTAGGTGTTTTCTAAGCCCTCCATAGCATGTTTTCACTGGAAGTTATTATAGAGTAATGCTTTTTAGTTCCAAAGCAACTATGGCAACTTCTAACAGAAGTCATTCATTCCAATAGCGTTCACTATTATCCATGGCTTACTGTTTTCATGATAGTTCAGGAACTCACTCACCCCCTCCCCCCCAAATGTTATGCACAGTTATGATTTGGGTTATTGTAGTGTTTTCGGCTGTATGGCCATGTCTAGAAGCATTCTCTCCTGATGTTTCACTGCATCTATGGCAGGCATCCGCAGAGGTTGTGAGGTTGTTCACATGGCTGCAATAGATGCAGGTGAAATGTCAGGAGAGAATGCTTCTAGAACATGGCCATACAGCAGAAAAACCTACAACAACCCAGTGATTCCGGCCATGAAAACATTCGACAATACTGCTAGGAATTGTGGGACTTGAAGTCCAAAACATCTGGAGGGCCAAAGTCTGCCCATGCCTGGGTGCCTGAATGCTCCGAATGGGCAAGGAGAACAAGCAGCCTCTATACAGACATAGCGGGTTTGAGGCAATTGCTGCTTAAAGCCACAGGCTGGTGACAGAAACAAGAGCAGAAGTGGGTGCAGAGTGCAGCTTAAAACACTGGAAACTTGAAGCGATGGGAGGGGGGTGTGGGCTGTGAGCAGCTTTGTGCGAGGCGGGCCTACCTAAGAGAGGGATTGTGTGTGTGTGGATGGAGGAATGGATGGATGGGGTAATGTATGGCCATGTTCTAGAAGCATTTTCCCTGGATGTATCGTCTGCATCCATGGCAGGCATCCTCAGAGGTTGTGAGGTGAGGATGCTTGCAGAAGAAATGTCAGGAGAGAATGCTTCTAGAACATGGCCATACAGCCCAAAAACTTACAACGCATTGATTCCGGCCATGAAAGCCTTCGACAATACTGTTAGAGATGGTGGGAGCTTAAGTCCAAAACATCTAGAGGGCCGAAGTCTGCCCATGCTGGGGTGCCCTTATGCTCCAAATGAACATAGTGGGTGAGAGGTAATTACTGCCTAAAACAACAGGCTGGTGACAGAAATGAGCTGAAGTGCAGCCTCCCACACTGGAGATTGGAAGTGATGGGAAGGGGGCGTGGGCTGTCCTCCTCCTGGGCTGCTTTGTGTGAAGAGGGCCTACCTAAGAGAGAGAGAGAGTGGATGGAGGGATGGAGAGATGGGGCAATGTATGGCCATGTTCTAGAAGCATTCTCTCCTGACATTTCGCCTGCATCTATGGCAGGCATCCTCAGAGGTTGTGAGGTGAGGATACCTGCCATAGATGCAGGCGAAATGTCAGAAGAGAATGCTTCCCACACTGGAGACTGGAAACGATGGGAGGGGGCGTGGGCTGTCCTGGGCCGCTTTGTGTGAAGAGGGCCTACCTAAGAGAGAGAGAGAGAGAGAGAGAGAGAGGTGGATGGAGGGATGGAGAGATGGGACAATGTATGGCCATGTTCTAGAAGCATTCTCTCCTGACGTTTCTCCCGCATCTATGGCAGACATCCCCAGAGATTGTGAGGTGAGGAAGAGCGGGGGAGTGGGAAGAAGGTGGCGGCTTTCCTACCCTCGGAGCACGTCCTGCTGCCCCCTCCGCCGGACGCGGTTGGTGGGTCCCGGCGCGGAGCCTCCTTCCAAGCTGCCCAGGAGGGGGAAGCTGCTGCCGGGGTGGCTGCTGCTGCTGCTGCTCCCTCCGCCGGCCGTGGCTCCTGGCTCGGCTCCTTCGGCGGGACGGATGCGCTCTTCCCTGGCCCGCTTGGCCTGGCCGGCCGCCCCCTGCGCCCACAGCGCCACGCAGCCCAGCCAGAGCAGGCAGGAGGGCAGGCTCAGCTCCCTCCGGCGCCCCATCGCTGCCAGAAGGAGAACCAAGGGAAGGAAACCCAAGGAGGAGGAGGAGGAGAAGTGCCCTCCTCGCCGAGGCCGCCGCCGGACCTGCTCCTCAAGGGCAGGAGCCCTTCTCGCTCCAAACCTGGCCTCAGCTGGACGCTCGAAGCGCTGCTCGTGCTGCTGCTGGTGCTGTTCTGCCTCCACAAGGCATCCTCCTCCTCCTTTCCACTTTCCCCCCTTTTTCCTCGCTGGAAGGCGCGCTGCTTCCCAAGGAAACGACAGCGAAGAAAGAATCCAAGCCTTCTCCCAAGTCTTGCAGGAAAGGGCGCCCCTCAAAGGACCCTCCGACGCTCCGGGCACCTCACAATCCGAGTGAAAGGAAAAGGGTGGGACTGAGGAGGAGGAGGAGAAGGAGACGCTCTCCGGCCCCGGACGAGCCAAAAAGCGGGAGCCAGAAGAGGACAGAGAGGAGCTAAGCAGAGCCGAGCGGAGAAAAAGCGGCTGCCCGGCGGAAGGCGAAGGGAGGGGAAAGGCAGAGAAAGAGAGGAAGGGGAGGAAGGGGCCCGCGGAGGAGGGCAGACTCCGGCCTGTCAGCAGGGACCCGCCAAGCACGTGGGAGAGGAGCCCCCGAGAGAGAGGGGGGGAGGGAGAGGCAGCGCCAAAGGGGCGGCGGGACCGGAGAAAAAGGAGGAGGAGGAGGAGGGCGGCAGCGCGGCCCTCAGGAAAGGATGCCTGGCTCGCACAGACCTGGGGAGGGAGGAAGAGAGGGAAGGAGGAGGAGGAGGAGGAGTGTTGGAAAACGGGGAGAGGGGAAAGAGGGCGGGGAGAGCAGCCCAGGCCGGGAAAGAGGGGAATGCCTGGCCGAAAAGGGAGGGAGGGAGGGAAGGGGGGCGCCAGTCAGGCCGTGGCTCCTTGCTGCACGGCCCCCCTCCCGCCCTGCCCTGGCTCCCAGCTCCTCCGTCGCCTCCGCCCTCTTTGTGGCCAGAAAGGAGCCCGCCAAAAAGTGGCCCCCGTAACGCACCAGTACAGGCAGCCCCCGAGTTAGGAACGAGATCCGTTCTGTAGGTTTGCTCATCACGTAAGTCAGAACAGGGACATGTTTAAAGACAGTGGTTCCCAACTGACCTGGGACCACTCTCCAACATTGGTACCAAAAAAGCCAAGACACAAGTGTGTGCTTGCGACCTACCCTACCCTGAAGCAAACAGGAAATTGAAAGTCATCTGGGAAGGGGTTTTTTTTTTTTGGTCTTCTTAGGAGCAACTTGAGAAACTGCAAGTCGCTTCTGGTGTGAGAGAATGAAAGTCAAGAGCTTGAACATTGCTTTCATCCTAAATATCTCGGTGTCACCTTAGATAGAACACTAGCATATAGGAAACACTGCTTGAACATCAAGCACAAAGTAGCTGCATGCAATAACACCCTGCAGAAACTTACTGGCAGCATATGGGGTGCAGACCCAAAATTAGTAAGAACATCAGCCCTGGCCTTGACTTACTCAACTGCCGAGTATGCCTGCCCTGTTTGGCATAGGTCTGCCCATGCAAAGCAGGTGACCATAGCATTGAATGAAACATGCAGAATAATCACAGGATGTCTTAAATCTATACCTGTTGATAAACTCTACAAGCTAGCTGGCATCCCCCCCCCCCCCCCGATGTGGGATGGGAAGTTGCTGCTAAATGTGAGAGAAATAAGGTTGAACACTATGAAAGCCATCCACTACATGGCTATCAGCCTCCTCCCAGTAGACTCAATTCAAGGAAAAGCTTTATGAGAACTACCACTCCTCTTGGCGTCCCTCCAGCAGCAGCAAGGGTATCCCTCTGGGCAGCTAAACCAGGAAATCCCAACTGGGTGCCTCCCTGTGAGGGTCTTCCTTCAGGGGCAAACCAAGAATGGGCAACCTGGAAGTCTCTGAATAGACTTAGAAGCGGAGTGGGAAGATCAAAAGACGACCTGGCAAAATGGCGCTACCTAAAAAAATCCTATACCTTGTGTGATTGTGAAGCAGAACAGACAACTCCGCATCTGTATGCTTGTCCACTGTGGCCTGCCTCATGTACAGAGGAAGAGTTGTTGGAGGCTACACACAATGCCATTGCTGTTGCCCTTTTTAGTCAAAGGATATTTAGCCACCTGTGCGCCTTCTATTTTTAACAGTTTTATACTGATTTATGTAATGCTTTTGATACAAAATGAATAAAAAACAAAAAGGGTAGAGCCCCCAGTGGCACAATGGTTCTCAACCTGTGGGTCCCCAGGTGTTTTGGTCTACAACTCCCGGCTGTTAGGATTTCTGGGAGTTGAAGGCCTAAAAATCTGGGACCCACAGGTTGAGAACCACTGGGATAATAATAATAATAATAATAATAATAATAATAATAATAATAATAATAATAATAATAATCTTTATTTATACCCCGCTACCATCTCCCCAAAAGGGATTTGGGGCAGCTAACATGAGGCCAAGCCCAAAATTACAATACAGCAAAATAAAATAAAATACAAACAAGCAATAATAACATCAAATAAAATACATAAAGTAACAGAATATACTCCAGCAAAGGATTACTGCCTTGTCGCAACGCTGGAGCTTGAGCACCTTTTCTTCCTCCTCGTCGCCACTTGGGCCTCTTGCTGCTGCTTAGGCCCTATGATTGAGGAGGTGATGGGGGCAGTGCGTGGTCCAAGAGGCAGCAAGAGTCACAGGTAGTGAAGAGGAGGAGGAAGAGGAATGTAAAGATGGTGTGGGGGCGGCTCTTCTTCACTCCTTGCTACAGTGTTACCGCATTACTTAAAAAAATTTTTTAAAAAAACCTCGCGAAATAGTGAGTCCGCGGTAAGTGAATTACAAAGTAATGAGGGTACACTTTATATCTGTTTTATTGACTATTCTAAAGTCTTTGACTGTGTGGATCAAAATAAATTCTGGCAAGTCCTTCGTGGTATGGGAATATCAAGTCACCTTGTCTGTCTCCAGAAGAATCTGTATAACAACCAAGTAGCAACAATAAGAACAGGCCACGGATCAACAGACAGGTTCAAGATTGGGAAAGGAGTACAGCAGGGCTGTATACTCTCAGCTGACCTATTCAACTTGTATGCAGAACCCATCATGCGACATGAGGGGCTTGATGAATCCAAGGCGGGAGTTAAAATTGCTGAAAGAAATATTAACAAACTTAGATATGCAGATGATGCCACTTTGATGGCTGAAAGCGAGGAGGAGCTAAGGAGCTTTATAACAAAGGTGAAAGAAAAAAGTGCAAAAGCTGGGTTGTAGTTAAACATGAAAAAAAAAACCCAAGATTATGGCAACCAGACTGATTGATAACTGGAAAATAGAGGGAGAAAACCTGGAGGCAGTGACAAACTTTGTATTTCTAGGTGCAAAGATTACTGCAGATGCCAGACTGCAGGCAAGAAATTTACTTCTTGGGAGGAGAACAATGTTCTTGGGAGGAGAACAATGACCAATCTTGATAAAATAGTGAAGAGTAGACATCACACTGGCAACGAAGAACCCTGATCTGCAGACAATCCTGCTCTTGAACAGCACAAATAAAGATGGGTGCAACAAAGGTCAGCTATTCTACCCATTGTTTTTTTTTTTTTTTTGCTTGATTTGTTTCAAGAGAGTAACACTTTCTTCCACACAGGACAACAGACGCTTCTAGGAAGCTCAAGCGGAAGGAAAAGAGAACAGGAACCCAGTAAAAGGAAAAGTAAAGTGTATGGTAAGACTGGCTCATACAGCAGAGATGCTGTTATGGATTTCAAACAAACGTTTTCAGACTGAGAATTTCCAGAAGAAATAGTAGTGAAATGTATGTTAACATCACAAGGAAATTATTTGTAGAAAACAGAAGACCCATTTAAAAGAAAATCAAACCACATGGTACCAAATTGTACTATTCAAGCTTATGGATAGTGAGGCACAAAATCCTTGATTGCAATACAAATTATCAATCTATTGAAATTATCAATCAATTAGAGACAAGATGAACTCTCTGAATATACAGTGAAAAATAGTTTTATGTTATAGTATGGATCTCCTGTCTAGTTTTTTTCACAGGTATGCAGGATAGTAGAAACCAAAAGTCGTACTGACCATTCCCCTTTCACATAAAAGTTTAACAGTAATTGGTCATGTGATGGAGGAACGTCGATTAACAACTACATTTCAAGCTTAAAATAAAGAAGCTTATTGCATACCTCAACGAGCATGGAAAGAATATACAGGCAGTCCCCAAGTTATGAACAAGGTAAATTCTGTAGGTTTGTTCTTAAGCTGAATTTGTATGCAAGTCAGAACAGGCACATTTTTAACTGTAACTTCAGCCAAATATATATAGAGAGGGGGGTGGAGACATTGGATAGTATAGGGAAAGGCCAACAGCCCTGTAACATTTCCTTTGCTGTTTGTTCCCCTGTTTGGAAGATTTCACCTCCCTTTCTGTACCTGTGACAACTGGACTTTGGAAAATTTGGCTTGTAATGGGACCAAGGGTTGGTGCGAAAGCTTCAGTGGAGACACACTTTTCTCATGATAAACCTTACAGGAGTGAATTTCTCTCACTTCCTGTTGTCTCACCCCGTTCTTACTATGAGTCATTTTTAAGTCAGAAGTTTGTAACTAGAGGACTGTGTGTGTGTTGCATTCAACTTTGTGTGCAAAGCATAGGGGATGCACATAATCTTTCAATTCTCTTTTAGCCTGAAATTTCTGTTTTACCTAAAATGGCCAGGCTTTAGCACAGCTGGTTAATCACCAGCAGCAATGGATCACACCAATTGAAAGGTTGGCATTTCAAAGCCCAGGTTGGGCTGAGCACTCAACCTTCAGCCCAGCTCACTGTCCACCTAAGCAGTTCAAAAACAGCTGTGAGTAGAGAAATTAGGCACAGCTTAATGTATTTTACGGCACCATTAAAAGGAAATACCAGAAAATGCTGGCGATCAAAGGAAGAGGGAAGTATATGATCAAGGGCTCTTTGTCACAGAGGATGGAGCAACAGCACCCCCTGTGGCCAGAATTGAGCACAACGTCTCAGACGTCGAAGTTGGGAAAAATGCTGACACATGCCTTCTATCTGTTGTCTGTCCTGTCTGCTTAACGACATTGAATGTTTGTTGTCTATGTGTTCTGTGACCTGTCCTGAGTCCCCTTCAGGGTGAGAAGGGTGGAATATAAATGTTGTAAATAAATAAATAAATAAAACCTAGGGATAAAAGATATAATAAATATAAATAGGTGTTTTCCTTCCTATGTTAAAGAATAGGAAGAAACTTAATGTCATTAGATTGGATGTCATTACTATTAACATCTCTAATGTTCTTGAAAAAGCTATCAATGGGACTAATTTAGTTATCTGGCCTAGTCAAGGAAGTTGCCTGACTTAACTTCCTTGTCACATTGACTAACACAAGTAAACTAAAACTGTCACTGGAGCAATGGCTAAGATGTGATAAAGTTATAATACGATTGGGCCTGAAAACAGAAAGTTAAAAGGCCTAGAAGTGTGTTTATACAACCAAGATTGAAAGTTGCTATCTCAGGGTCCTTATCAAAGAGGTTGTTGTTACAAGAGAGCAACCCATGTCTACAGAACGAATCCCAATTTTCTTTATTATGTCAGTGTTTGCAGCTCATTTTTATAAGTCACCTGGTCTCTGTTTTCTGTCACTGGCTAACATGTTCTTTCCAAATTATATGTTGCCATATGGGAGTCTCAAATCTTTCTTCAGAATGTTATACAAATGAATAGGATCTGTCTGGGGCTCGGAGCTTTACAATAAAAGATTGCAACTTGAAACAGTTTCAAATAGCCTTGCTTTGCTCCCATTTTTGTAAAGCTATGATGAGCCTACAGTGCTTTGATCTTTCCGTATTTGTTCAGAAAAATATAGTGAAAATATAAAATACCCATCTGTTCTTCAAACTTCTTTATATTTAAAACATTTGAAATACTGTATGTTAAAAGAAAACAATGAAATTATAAGGAAAATCTTCCACAGACATTATCAATGCCACTTACCTTTTCAGATTACAGATGGTGGGAAGGCTCTTGCAATATATGATAAATATCCATTCATATTGAATAATAAACCCCTCCATAATCTTAAATAAAGTACAGTAAATGTTCCTTTCTTCAAGCAGATACGGTGATATAAAATAACACTAAATTGGATATGCATCTTTGGATTTCAATAGGTTGGAAATCTCAAAGCCCACTTAAGGGTGTTCCCTGTTTTTGTATTTTATTTTTTTTTTAAAAAAAAACACACACAATGCATTTTACAGATGACAGGTTAGTAGTGTATGTGACAAAACAGGAGGGTCTATAAACTACCAGGAACAATGTATTGATTTTTTTTAAAGAAATGCGCACACATACATATACACACACATACACTCTTCAAAAGACCCATGAGCTGAGTCAAAACGTTCCAGAAACAACTCCTGTTACGCTCTGCATTTTATTATAACAACCTGGCCAAGTAACCTTGAGAATATAAGCAAGAGCCATGCATCTCTTCCTCTTGCCATAATAACATTTCCCCAGCAGTTTCTTGCCAACTCTTTCTATCTGATATTCCATTTCCAACTGTGGGTATCTGTAATAAATAATTCATGCAGATATTATACATGTGTGGGTGCATTTGGACAAAGTTATAATTCTGACTTTCACTGCCATCCTTTCCTTTCGAATGACCAATTCAGTTTATTTCTGGGAAGAAAATCAAATCAGGTCAGAATCTGTTAGGGGAGAGAAACAGCAAACTGCTGCTACGTTGTGCATTTAATGGACAGCAATTTGTGGGAAAGACTGTGTTTAATCTACAGTGGGATTGCATTTTTAAAAGTCAAGTAAATACATGCGGAATCTATTACCTTAAGGCATCTGTTAAAAGCAGTGTCATGAGAAGCAAAATTAACGCAAAAATTAAGCACAAATTCATATATGCAATGACAAGAAATTTAACAAGAAATGATCAATAAATGATTTTGAAAATTAAAGAAAATACTACTGATTTGTATGACTAGAGATTCTAGTTGTGCAATTGAGAGAAAGTCAGTAATGTCCCAAAGAATTACAGTACCAATCCCAGATTTAGACACTAAGAAAAAAATAAAGTGGGAAAAAATAATCTAGATCGGCATGAAAGAGAAAAAAATGGTGCAATTGTCAATACCACATGTGTGTATACCTATTTTAAGGGGTTTTTTTGTGTCAGAAGCAACTTGAGAACACACTGCAAGTCACTTCTGGTGTGAGAGAATTGGCCATCTATAGAGACGTTGCCCAGAGGAGGCTTCTGTCATGTTCCAACAAGCTAGAGCTGACAGATGGGAGCTCACTCTATCTCGCAGATTCAAACCTGCCACCTTCAGGTCAGCAACCCAACCTTCAGGTCAGCAGTCAGCTGGCACAAGGGTTTAACCCATTGTGCCATTGCATCTTTAAGTTGCCCTTTGACATGGTGACCCTAGTATTTTTTTTGGGGGGGGGGGGGTTCTTACGCAAGGTTCATAAGTGTCCTGACAAAAAGAAAAGTCATCTATTCAGATGTGGTTTTGCCATTTCCTTCCTCTGGAATAATAGTCTAGCCCACCTGGTAGTATTGACCCTGCTTAGGCAAGATAAGTGATAGGAGCCCAAGGGTTGGAACTGCAGAGTCCATTTGGATCGGGATTGCATCAAATTGGGATTTGCTAGGAAATGACATCACGAGAGTGCATCCAGAGGTCCATAAGTATCCTGAAAAACAGAAAGCTAGATTTGTGTTGTTCATTCGTTCAGTCGTCTCCGACTCTTCGTGACCTCATGGACCAGCCCACGCCAGAGCTCCCTGTCGGCCGTCACCACCCCCAGCTCCTTCAAGGTCAGTCCAGTCACTTCAAGGTTGCCATCCATCCATCTTGCCCTTGGTCGGCCCCTCTTCCTTTTACCTTCCACTTTCCCCAGCATAATTGTCTTCTCTAGGCTTTGTCTCCTCATGATGTGGCCAAAGTACTTCAACTTTGTCTCTAGTATCCTTCCCTCCAGTGAGCAGTCGGGCTTTATTTCCTGGAGGATGGACTGGTTGGATATTCTCGCAGTCCAAGGCACTCTCAGAACTTTCCTCCAACACCACAGCTCAAAAGCATCGATCTTCCTTCGCTCAGCCTTCCCTAAGGTCCAGCTCTCACATCCGTAGGTTACTACAGGGAATACCATGGCTTTGACTAGACGGATCTTTGTTGCCAGTGTGATGTCTCTACTCTTTACTATTTTATCGAGACTGGACATTGCTCTCCTCCCAAGAAGTAAGCGTCTTCTGATTTCCTGGCCACAGTCTGCATCTGCAGTAATCTTTGCGCCTAGAAATACAAAGTCTGTCATGGCCTCCACATTTTCTCCCTCTATTTCCCAGTTGTCAATCATTCTTGTTGCCATAATCTTGGTTTTTTGATGTTTAGCTGCAACCCGGCTTTTGCGCTTTCTTCTTTCACCTTGATTAGAAGGCTCCTCAGCTCCTCCTCGCTTTCGGCCATCAGAGTGGTGTCATCTGCATATCTGAGGTTGTTAATGTTTCTTCAAGCAATTTTCACCCCAGCTTTGCATTCATCAAGCCCCGCACATCGCATGATGTGTTCTGCATACAAGTTAAAAAGGTTGGGTGAGAGTATGCAGCCTTGCCGTACGCCTTTCCCAATCTTGAACCAGTCTGTTGTTCCGTGGTCAGTTCTGACTGTTGCTACTTGGTCCTTGTACAATTAGGTAGACTAATTGTCACTGTTCAAGGATTTTCGTATGATACACACTATCATCAAAAGGGGAAATACCCAGTAACATCATTTAAGTCCAGAGTCTAAAATTATTTAACCATAAAATGATTCCAGATATATAGTTGAAAACACCAACCTATATAACTACTCACCCAGGTAAATGCTGTTTATGCAGTACCTTTGGAGGTGATGGCAATGAAGTCTAAAACTTTGAGTAATTTCCAGGCTTTTGTTCAATTATGCATTACATAGTTTGGAGCTCTCAGTTACATACAATATTACAGTAATCTTCAAATCAGAGAAAGCTCAAACTGCCTGAAGATATTTTAGAGTGCTGAAATGTCAATTTCTAGTAATTCACACAGAGCACAATTAGCATGGAGAACAAACATTCATCTGCACAAGCCCTTTGAAATGGGTTGTGATCCACGAGTCAGATCACTTTGTCATGGATGGCATCAAAACATTGCATTACATTGGAGCATC